ACAGTCAAAAATTTATGTATAACTTTTGATTCACCCAAAACTTACTCCTAATAGCCTACTATTGACTATCAGCCTTACTGATAACTCAATCAATGTGTTATCATAACACATATTTTATATATGTATTTATACCATATTCTTACAATAAAGTAAGCAAGAGAAAAGAAAATGTTATTAAGAAAATCATAAGGAAGAGAAAATACATTTTACTGTAAGCTTACATCATCTGTTTACAATATGAATCATCTGTCTTTCATTACCTACATCAATATTGTCTTATATGATACAAAACACTGTAGATGTTACATGTATTGTTAATACTAAACATCAGAAAAGATAATGTGAAAAGAAATTAATATTTATTTACAGGTATAATGATGCATGCATTGATAACAAGCAGCAATTGCTTTATTGCTTTATTGTACTTTAGTGTAATCAGTACAGTTATTTCATGGTAGCCTAGCTTACACACTAATGAATGAATCATAAAATTTCTATAGCATACAGTGTTTCAGTCATATTCATAATTTAGTAATTGAAACATTGTTACATTTTTTTTAAAAACCACTTACCTGTGATGATACACTGTTACCCAGTTTCTCTAAGTACAAAAGGAAGGCATACCATATAGTATGTAATTCTTTGAAATCAAAGTTATAAAACAGTAAGAAAGCTAACACACTTAATATGTTATAGTAAACATCACTCCCATGTAAGTCTTGCACACAATGCTCTGCATGACAAATACTTAGACAATGATGATAATGATGGTGACACAAAAAACATTCCATATCCATATCATTGTCTTATAGTTATTAGATTTTCACATGAAGACACACATACACAACAGATAGGTTTACTAACTTTATGGCATCACATTTATTTACTGTTCATTGAGTGGAAGTGGATCATCATACAGGTTTTTATCCTCATCTTAGGCTGAATAGGCTGAGGAGGAGGAAGAGCTGAACCTGCTGTCTTGGGGATGGCAGAGATGGAGGAGGTGGAAGGGGAGTCGGAGAGGCAGGCACACTCAGTGCAACTCTACAGATTTACCTCATAATTTCTGTCTGACTTGCTTGCTTTTTCACTTCTCTAAAAATTCTTCCATATGGTACCAATCCTTTCACAGTTTGCTTTTTGCAGTGCCCATATTATAGAAGGATCCATGTCTTGAACAAATGGAATCCTTCTGCCAGAATGTCTAATGGCAATTTGTTTTCTGGCACTGCTTCTACATATGTCTCCTTCTTCACCTCTGGCTGTGGTTCAGAAGCACTCATGTCCATCAAGGTAATTCCTCTGGTGTGGTGTCTGTTAGTTCTTGAATTTCTTCAAGATCCGTATCTTGAAATCCTTCACCCTCCGTAACCTTTTTTACCATATCTATAATCTCTTTCATGACTGGCTCTGTCATGTATCCTATGAAATAATGCACAATATCTGGGCACAGTTTTCTTCAGCAGAATTTATTGTTTCAGGCTTGATGGTTTTCATGTTTTTTTCTACAACAACGATGGCAGCTTCAAAGGTATAATCATTTCAGGCTTTCATTGTGTTCTCTCTTGGATCTCTTTTCCATAGAATAGTAATCCTTTCTATAGAGCACCATGTAAAATGAGCCTTGAAGGGCCTCATGATTCTCTGATCTAGAGGCTGGCTTAGAGATGTTGTGTTGAGGGGCAAGTAGACCACTTTAGTGCCTCCAGTGTTGAATTCATGGGGTTCTGAGTGGCCAAGAGCATTGTCTCATATCAAAAGACCTTGAAAAGAGAGTCCCTTACTGGCAAGGCACTTCCTGACTTCAGGGCCAAAGCATCAATGGAACCAAAAAAGGCCTATTCTCATTGTCCAGGCCTTCATGTTGTACAACCAAAAGACTGGCAGCTGGTGTTTTCCTTTTCTCTTCAAGGCTCAGGTGTTAGCAGCTCTGTTGATAAGGGCAGTGCTGATCATAAAGCCAAATGCATTTGCACAAAATATTAGAGGTAGCCTATCCCTTCCTGCCTTAAATCTTGGTGCTTGCTTCTCTTCCTTAATAATAAATATCTTTTGTGGCATTTTCCCCCCAGATTAGGCATTTTCTTCTGCATTAACAACCTGCTCAGGCCAATATCCTTTCTCGATGATTTTCTTCATGGTGCCTGGGAACTCATCTTCTGCCTCTTGGTCAACAAAATCTCCGGTTCTCTTAACATTTTTTAAGCCAAATCTTTTTCCAAGATTATCAAACCATTCTTTGCTGGCATTAAATTCCCCAAATTTAGATATTTTACCTTCCTTTGGTTTTATGTTATACATATAATGACTTAGCTTTTTCTTTAATCATTTTAGAATATGTGGGCATGCCTTTCTTACAGCAATCCTGCACCCACATAAAAGCTGCACTTTCAGGACAAGATAAGAAGGTATTTTGCAGAAAGTGCAAGGTTTTTGCACCTGCTGGTGTAGCTGCAGCGACAGCATCATGAATTTCCTTTTCTTTGGTCCTTACAATGGATTCATTTATCTTGAATAGCAGGCATCTGCAGCTGCAGACCTCAATCTACAGTACTTATCAAGCAATTCGACTTTTTCTTATAATGCCATAACTTTTCTCAGTTTCTTGGGAGCACTTCCAGCATCACTATTGGCATTTCATATGAGTCCCACAGTGTTATTTAAGGTTTACAATATTGCACTAAACATGATAAGAAATACATGAGAACGTCAAGAGATCACTTTTTACAGCTATATGCAATTTACTGGAGATATGAACTGCTCACAGGAGATGACTAGCCTCACTGTGTTTTAAGTGAATACTCATCAATACCTAACCTCACCCCAATACAACAGGAGGTGGCTAGGAAACTGTTACAGTAGCACAGTATGTACCACAGTTAATCTCAAGCAGTTATGATTTAAAACCACATCCTTATGTTTGTTTGCATTTCTCTTGACTGCAAATGGTGCCTTGTACTGTCTATCAATGTTCAAGTGTGTAAGTTTTGATATATTTTAACTTTTTATAACAGAATGGTGTACATTTTAAGGTAGCAAATGATAAAATAGACCAGTATTTGTGTATCTTTTATGCATTCATGACATGACTTTTTCTTAATCTTTATTTATATTTCTAGGCTATGCAGTTCATCTGTGAGTTATTCCTAATTGCTGCCATTCTCCAAAAATGTTCCCAATATATTTATTTTTTTAAATTCATGTTAAAGTGGATCTGTGCAGTTCAGACCTGTGTTGTTGCGGGGCCAGCTGTAGTTCTTAGATTTAGTTGCTTTGCTTTAATGAGGAAAATAAACTCACTCTTTTGCATGCAGCAAAGGGCATGTGTGTGACCCTAAGTAAAAGGTAGTTTATAAAAGTAAATTATCTAAACTTTTCTTTAAGTATCTTAAGTTTGTGGGAGAGCAGCCTGATGTAATTAACACATGGGGTGAGGCCTGGGGTCAGGATCCTCCTGCCCCTGAGGAGCTGCTTTGTGGCACGTTCTTAATTTTCTCATCCTTAGTTTCCTCACTTCTGAAATGGAGATAATAAAACCTCTCAGGGCTGTGTGAGCCTAGACACATCATGATCACCCAGTATAGAAAGGGCACTCGATGAGTGTTGGTTCTCTTCTCTCTCCCTCCAGGGGAAAAATGCATCTACGATTTTTACTAAAGGTTGTTTTCCAGCTACTCATGAAAATAAGACTAGCCTATTTTTCACTCTGCAAAGCTGCTCAAATAAAAGGGGCAGATGAAAAATCAGGGTTCTTCACTGTCCCAGTCACTCTGTAGTTGTTTTCTTCCCCAGACAGCAGGCTCTACTTTCAGAGCAAAAAAGGAAAGGTGTGTTCACAGCAGTCATAGGATTGTTGACTTCTGTGTAGCTGATGTAAGCCTGAAAGAGGGGAGAGTTCAGGAGAAGGTTTCTTATTTTCCTTAAACCATTACAGTGTTGGTTTTGGTTCTTCCCAATTCGAAAGAGGAATCTGGCTTAATAATACTTCACATCCGGAAATTTCCAGAAAGTCTCCTTCTCTTCACCCTGATAGCCCCTTCTTACCCTAAAGTTGAAAGATCTGTGTCTAGAAAGGACAATTATAATCCAAAACAGTTTGTTTCTGTCCAGAATAAAATGGGGATGAAGCATTTTGTCAGAAAATCAAGATCCTATATCCTATTTTCCTTTATTTAGCTAGTAATTTTCACAATTGTATACTTTAGAATATAATACATATAGCTATATTTAAGGAATTTGTTTTGAGAACATTTTTAAATCATTTTGTTATTTTTCTTTTCATGAATTATTGAAGCCCTGATGACTCTAATTCATAATTTTATTCCTTTTTAAATAAACCAACTGAAAGTAGTTCATGCAATTCAACATTTGATGTTAAGAATTTTTATATGAATATGAAAAGGTGCTGCATAAATGATTTGACTAGTTTTTAATGCAACACTGTCTATATTCACACAGCATTTAACAAGAGTGTTTTCAAATGCACTGTTACTTAATCTTTGCAACAACGTTGTGATATGTCAGTATTGTTAACCATAGTTTATAGTTGAAGAGACTAAGGCCCAAAGAAGTTCAATTTAAGTGTCCCAAGATCACACACCCAACTAAAGTTCTCCACTAAAAATTCTGATTTCAATCTAGTGTTCCTACCACAGGGCTACAACTGAACTAAATTCATAATCAGCAAGAGCACCAGTCTAGACATGCATATTAAATTTTCCATATTTAACATCACATCAGATTTTCCATTGAATGGATCTTATGCTTCATTGCTTTATTATGTTCCATTTGTAATCTTCCAACCTATTTTCTTAATTAACATGAATAGTTAACTAGTCCTTTGGTATGTCAAATGAGAACTGTTTAAACAATTATGGAATAATATTCTGATAATGAAACTTCTAGAGGATCAGTTCTCAAAAAGTAAAGAAAAATATGGCACAAAATATCACTGTTAATTAAGAAAGGACTTAGGGCTAAGGTCTGGTTTTGTTTTCCAGGTGGCGTTGCATGCTTGTGGAGTGGCAACAGACATGGTGATTGAGCACTGCATCAAAACACAGGCTTCCTTTGTGACATGCCCTTGCTGTTATGGTTTCATTCAGAACACCTCAAAGTTTAATTTTCCAAAAAGGTGAAATGTAGCGTTCTACTTAGGCACCAATATGAGGGTTAAATCAATGCACAAAAATTATCTGACGTAAAGTTGCAATGAGATTTCACTTTTGAGCTCATATCTTCTTTCCATAATGGCAAGTATTGTTTATGTTATATAAGGAAGAGAGGGTCTCCGCTATGATTGCCCTTGATTTTTTTCTCCTGGATCCAACTTCTGCTGAAATTTAGAAACAAGTCAGTCTAGGAGTCAGCTGACTAGAAGTCTGACAGCTTCAGCACTTTCCTGTGAAGTGAGAAATCCAAGTATAACTTTTGACTCCTGTGGGGAAAATGGAAGTTCCTATGGCCAGGATCCTCACCTGACCCTGAATTTATTGATGATGTAATTGGCCTACTGCTAGGCTACTCCTTCCACACCTGTAGGCAATAAGCTATTATTGACTGAGTCATTATATAAAGAGCTCTGCCCAGTGCTCTGGGTGGAGGCAGAGAAGGAGGTGGATTATGGACCTGCAGACTATTGGATACAGGGTTGATTCTAGTGCTTGACCTACCACTGTGAGAATAAACCCAGGTATAAACCCTTTTACCCCAAGAATGTGCCATTATCATTTCTCAGTCTCACCTAATCATAGTGAACTTGCCTGGGGCTGAAACCCTCAGGTGAGACAACTCCCCAAAACTTAACTGCTAATCACCTCCTGTTGACTGGAAGCCTTACCTATAACATAGTCAATTAGCACATCATATATTTTGCATCTTAAATTATATATTGTATTCTTACAATAAAGCTAGAGAAAAAAACATTAATAAAATCATAAGGAAAAATAAAACACATTTACAATACTGCATAGTATTTATTTTTTAAAAATCCACATAAAGGGGACCACATAGTTCAGACCTATGTTGTTCAAGGGTCAACTGTATTTCTACGTGGAAAGCACCACCTATCAGAAGCAGAAGAGAGTACTGGTTAAGTGCTTAAGTGGAAAAATTCCCGCTAGGTGCAAATAATGTCTCCTTATCCTTTTATAAATTTTTTCACATCAGGCAATTTAAAGTCTTTTTGCCTATATTTTCTCATCTACAAAATGGGGGTTTTAATAGTAATTACCTCAAAGTTTTTGTGTGAATTGAATGATACACATTAAACACTTAGAAGCAGCATAGAATAAGCACTCAATAAATATAAGTTACAGTTGCAGTGAGCAGTCAATAAATGCTCATTACAGTAGTCACTGTCATATTTTTCAGTACTGCCTATGGGTGATAATGATTGATCTGCAAGTTTGACAGCCATTTTCATAGTGCTTCTCATCCCACATCAAAGAGGGAAACATTTTCATTCTCACTTTAACTCAACCTAGTGAAGGGCCACTCTTGGTGTTTATGACATTTTATTCTCTGATGCATAGTTACTGGGAATCATGCTGATCATTTTAATGACAGAATAGATTCAATGCGTTAGTTCTGGCAAGTCTACCCTAGAATGTGTCACAAAAGAGTTGTCGATCATTTCCATCATTGCTTTTAAGAAATGTTAGAACTTTTCCATTGGAATTTATACTTAGAGGCTTCTATCTTAAGTAATTTAAACGTAACAAAGTACAAATAATAGTCTTCTTTTTCTTTACCTCTCATTGTTTTGTTCTTTACTGCAGTTTGCAACTAGTTTTAAAGAAAACCAAAGGAACTATGGAAAAGCAAAAAATAAAATATAATTTGAGGCTTATTCAGTAGTTGAAATTTTATTTTATTCTAAATATACACAGATAAATGTATATTTTACAACCCATCAAAAAATTTGTAAGTCTAGCACTATAAAGATCCTCACAAATGCCAATTTGAGTTGTTCAGCCTGCAGTCTCAGGTAACTGATTTTTAAGTCTCAATTAAGTGTCTGTTAACCTTTTCACATCTCTGCAGATTTACTAACACTTTCCCCCCTTGGCACTGGAGGACCATTCTCTGGTCACTATCCCCCAGACCTAATTACCTAAGGGCCAGCTATCAGACTAAGGACAGCCCCTAGCCCACTGACATCAAATTAGCCAGTCCTAAGCTTGCTCATCCTGCCTTGACATTCCTTCCCACAGAATCCATAATAAAGCCTCTTGCCCATGTTTTCATGACTCCCTCTGCCTCCTAAACAACTGTGCGCTTCTCCCCAGGGCCCCGTGTGGCATGGTGTGCCCCCTTCTCTTGGAACTATGAATAACTATCTTTTCAGTGGTGATCTCTCCTGATCTTTTGCTCTCACCACACCTGAGTAACAATAAAACCTGCATTTAAAAAGCCCTAGAGCTATGTGCACCCATGTGGGGAAGAAAAAAACGGTTGTGCTTGTCTAACAGTGTAAACAATCTTTGAAAGAAATTCTTTAAAATTAATAGCATATGATGGTATGCTTGTCTTTTATGGAGACATTTCAAACTAGCGTAATTTTTAGTTCAGGATAACATAATGTTTATTCTTCAGATAGAAATACCTGTTTTTGTTTATAATCTAGTTGCTTCAAAACTTAGAATCTTTGGTATTTAAATGACTAATTCCTTTTTCTTTTCTATTTCAGTGAACAATTCAAGAAAACTTTATCGTATAAGGTAACCTTACAAAGATCTAGATGTCTTTTTATATTTTTAATCCCTTCTTTATATTTTTGCCTTTCAAATTATAATGGGCTATATGATCTATAGTTATGTTTGAATTACTCATCAACATCTAATATGGGTTTTTTTCAAATCAAGATTGATTTCCAGGTAGTTGACAAGGTTTGTGAAGAGTCTAAGAGTTTACCCTACTCTCACGCTAACAAGTTAGCCTGCCATAATTTCATGGATTTAGGAAATCTAGAAGAAAGGAGACTCCTAAGTCAGAGACAAAGACAGGTTATTACTCACAGCAATAGAAGTAGCCAGACTATCATCCTTTTCTCACTGACTCACTGAGGCCCAGTTCCCACAGGGCAGCACAGAAAGGGCCAGGTGCCTCCTACATACACAGTGAGTTGCATCATAAGACAGGTAACCTGAGTTTAGGAGACCCAAATGTTTTTAGGATTTAATCTTTAAGCCAGCAAGCCTGCCCTTCACTCCAGAGGAAGACAGTAAGTATTGTCTGGAAAATATATATTTTCCAAGGCTGCTCACTATACAGACATCTTTGAAAAGATAATTTGGAACACAGGCAAATTTTTCTTTTAAGAGGTCAAAATAAATATTGTAAGTTTTACCGGCCACTTACAAATCTCCCATTTATCCTTCATTGTCCTTGTCATTTTTGTTGTTTTGTTATTGTTGGTTTACAATCCTTTTAAAATGGTAAAACCATTTCTAACTTGAGAGCTTTTTGCAACAGGTCATAGGCTGGATTTGGCCTGTGGACCATGGTTTGCCAACCCCTGGGGTCTGGAACAAAGACGGTACCATCCCACAAACACATGGAGAAACTCAGGACACCCACAGAGAATTGTCTCGCTTTGGGTCTCCAATCTAAGCAAAATATTTTCCAGCTTTCTGAACATCACAACTAACTAACTGGTCAGTAACATGACATAATGCAATATAACAAATAATATTATAGATAAGTTCATAAATAATTCCATTAAAAGTAGATTAATTAGTTGGACTCTTAGTTACTTTTACTTCTTACACAGACTCTCTAAAAATATATTATCTCATTTTGTATACCAGCTGCTGCCTTTTAAGAATTTCACCTTCTCTGTTCAACAGTGAAATAGTGAGGTACAGTGGCCTAAAAATGTTCTTTTCTACCACCTCGACACCTGAACTCCTTCACCTCTACTTCATGACTCTTACATGCCTACCCCCTATCCCCACCCCACCTCCTGCCCTCACCTCCCATTCCTTAGTGCCCTCCCAAGCCCCCATCGCAGTGCACAGATCCCCATGAAAAGGAGAGATCTGTAGGGTTCACACTTTCAACCAGAACCAACTTTCTGGTTTTAAAGTTTTGCCTACTGGTGTCTTGCCAGTGGGTTTCAGCTCTGGGCAAGTTCACTATGGATTCAATGTGACCAAAGATATGACAGAAGAATGTTCTTGGGGTGAAAGAGTTATACCTAACTTTATTTCCATGGTGGCAGGTCAATCACTAAAATCCTATTCGCTCAGAGCAAGTCTGCATGCAGCAAGCGGGTCTCTGCCTCTGGGCCTCTGTCCTCGGCACTGCCACCACTCCAGCCTCTGTCTGCTCTCCTGCAGCCCTGCCACCATGTTGTACCCAGAGCACTGGCGGAGCTCTTTATATAGAGTCAACAGCTAGGTATTGCCCACAGGTGTGCAGTGAGCTAGTCAAGCAGGGCCAGGTGAGAATCCTGGCCACAGGAACTCTCATTTTATCCACAACTGGATATAAGGTTTTCATATTCTAGGGAACTATAATATTTTGGGGGAAGCATTCGGATCCCAGGAGCTTTGTTTTCATAAGACTCAAAACATCTCACCTTTCTCTCACAAGGCCTTGCCAATAAGGTAGAAAATAAGTTGAAAAATAAACTAAAACTAGGCTTCTGTTTCTAATCCCTCCTTGAAGAATCCTAGGTAAAGCCACCTCTGAGAGGATGAATGGAGAAAACCTAGGATGGTGAGGAGGAAGTATAATACAGTTTCACTGGTTAGGAAGGAAAAAATGTCAAAAGAGCAGAAAGAGCCAAGGTCCCCAGGCTCTGCCAGCAGACAACTCCCTGGTTCCCCAGTTCATCTCTATTTCTTCTTTCTCACATACCCTCAAAAAGTTGCTTGGCCGCCAGCCCTTTTCAGAGTCTCAGGTAAAATGCTCTATAGAGAAGTCAGAGCTTCTTGGATATTGTGGCAAGTTGATACCTCAGTCCTTCTTAACATGATGGGTGGGCTGGCAGGCAGAACTAAATGGTCTTAATGTCAAATATCTTGAGAGTAACCTTAGAAGCATTTTTCTCCACCGTTTAATTTAGTCAACAAATCTTTGCTGAGTAGTTTCTCTGTGGCTTCCCCTTCCAGATGTTAACTTCCACTGAGGAGAACACATACACAAATAATTTCCAATGTTGTAAGGTGAGACTTACAAGGACAACTTCATGTGAAGTTGTGATTGCCTCAATGTTACCTTTATTTAAAGTGAATCTTAATTTTCAAACACCGTGATGACAAAGTACAGGCTTTTTCTTACTTTTCTTCAAATTATGTAATTCTAAATTCCTCTTCTGCCCCTTTGTGGGTAGCAGTTCATGTGTGCATAATAAATTATTCACTTGAACCATTTTATTAGTATCCGACACACTCATTGGCACTGATTTTTATATTGAGCATTAAAGTGGGTTTTTTAGTACATAAAAGTTGAAACAAAGTTAACCCTTCAAAAAGAGCCAGCGTCCCACAATCACTGCAACTCCCTTGTTTAAAAAGTGAAGCCCGAATTGACAAAAGACTGAGGGGATGAGAGATCGTTCTGAATTCAACGCACTTGCGGAGCTGACAGGTGGGATCACCGACACGCTGGGCCGCTGCAGCTGGTCTGCACGCACAGTTGTCTCAGGAACATTGCTCTCATCTTGACCCCAACTAATCACTCACCTTTGGCTCCTTGCAGATTATAGAGTGCTGTGCAGACTCATCTGCTCTCTGTCCCTTGAAAGCCTTCTTGTTTCATTAATGCAATCCTCCCTAAGATTGTTAAGCAGAAGCAATAATCTCCCTCCCATTCCCTCAGGTCCTCCTTATGCCTTGTCTTAAAGCAGAAATAGATACCCTTCCTGCAGCCTTCTGGAGTGAGAGCGGGTGAGCCAGCCTCCTCTCCTGCAAAGGGACGTCGGGAAGAGTGAAGGCGTGGCCAGCGCTCTGCTGGGCCTCCCGGAGAACTGCAGAAGCCGCAAAGGTGGCTCCTCACAGTGCTTGCTTTTCTTCCCGCTGTAGGAAGAAAGGCCACTTAGAATGTCTTGGAGCCATGTTCCTGAGATTCTTATTTTATTAAAGGAAAAATACAAGTGAATTTTAGGTGTTTTAGTTAAGCACATTATAGTCACAAATTATAACCATATTTCAGCTAAAAGCGACTGTTTAAATGGCCGTAAGGATCTCCTGTGCATCAGTCCTTCAGAACGATGTCTGAAGAGCAGTCTACTTGAAGGGAAAAAGTTACTGAGTACCATTTCCTAAAAATTTGCTTCTTTCAAGGATATTATTTGTGTAGCATTTTATTCAGTTAAACAATGTAAGGCTCCAGAAAAATGTAGTTATTAAAAATTTTTATAACTTTGAAGATTAAAATAAACCCACATTTTATTACTTTTTTTTTTTTTTAGGAACACATGATTCTTTGCAGATTTGCAGATCAGACAGCTGTCCAGCTTCCACCCCAACGAAGGCTCATAGGTATGTGTTGTCACAGAGCAGCTGTTGAGTAGATTATGTACAATATGCCTAGAAATGCATGGACCCGAGTCTATCTGGGAAAAACTGATCATTTACCAACAAGAAACTAAAGTTTGTTTTACCCAGAAAACTTAATCCACATTGAAAGGGGCTTTGTAAATATAATAATATTTTATCCCATTTTTGTGAACATTAATACTTTTATATACATTTTCAATGTACAAACATTGAACAGAATTATTATGTTAAATCTTTCTTACTGTTACAAACTGAAGGATCTATCAAAAGCCACAGAAGAAATAATATAGATAAACTAACTATGCATGCCAAAATTGATGCATGAAAATTGTAGAAACAAAGATGATGTTTTCTTTCTCAGAAAAAAAATATTTTTATATTATTAATCATAGACCAGTTTATTCAACATTTGTAATATTAAACATTCCTTAAGTTGGAAGACCTACAATAGCATTTCAAGTTTAAGTAATGAATTTTTCTAAGACTTTGCTTGAGATACAGAAATCACATTAAGCAGGTTAATTACAGCTAATAGCTAATTGCACATTTAAATACTGAGCTAGAAGTCCACTACCCATTTTCTCAGTTAATTCTTATAAAAATACTTAGGGGGTGACTCACCCAAGGGGGATAGCCCCTGGGGAAGTTCACTCAGGATTCGGTGAGACGGAATAACAATGGATGATTGCAGGTAAAAGCCTTTATACAAAGCTTTACTCTCATGATGGCAGGTCAAGTACGGGAATCACATCTGCCTCTGGCAAGTCAGCAGTCCTCTCCGTCTGTGCCTCTGGGCAGAGCACTGGGCGGAGCTCTTCACAGAGTAACACTGACAATAATGGTTCATTGCCTATGGGTGTAACTACTAGCTAGCAGCAGGCCAATTATATCATCAAGTAGTTTAGGGCCAGGTGAGGATCCTGGCCATAGGGACTTCCATTTTCCCTACAAGGGATATGTGTTATTTACATTCTACAGATAAGAGAACTGGGACAAAGGCTTATCCAGGTTCCTTCAGCTGGTAGATGAAGGATCCACATTAAGAACCCAAATTATTTGATTCTAGACATGAAGCTCTTATTCACTTTTGCACTGCCCCCAGTGATGGAGTCACATCACGGGGAGGCTAGGTTACAAAATTAGGGCTTATGATGATTGAGTGGAGTCAAAAATAATCTTTAAAATTATTTAGAAAAGTGCCACATTGGAGACTATCATATCATGTTACACTAAACACAGATTGCTGTTTCTTTGGCTGAGCACCAGATACAGTAATTCACTTGCATTCAGGGACCATGTTGTTTGAGAAACAGTTATATTAAAATTCTAAAGTCAAAATCAGCATAGCAAGATATTCACAGTTGGGGAGGTATTTGAGACCTGAGGCTGAAGATAAAGTGATTTCCTTCTTGATCGCACTCTAGGGCATGACTATATGAAAAGAGCATTCTCTTTCCCGCATGCAGCCTCTCTCTTTCCCTCTCTTTCACTCTTCCTCCTCCTTTTCCCAACCCCAGCACTTTGAGTTAGTTGAATGTATATTCAAATGTTGAGGAATATTTGTATTGAGGTATAATTTATATGTATATATGAATATGTGTGTATATATATATATGTATGTACATATCTAGATATAGATATAGATATAAAATTGCATTTGATATAACCCTACTAGACTCAATGATGACATACTTGGTGCAGTACATGGGTGTGTACATGGTTGATGTTTTAAGCATCAGGGAGTGTCTGGAAGGAAAATCCTGAGAGTTGAGGAGGAGGAGCATTTGGCATAATCACTGGCATGAAGGGAGGAAAAGTCAAGTTCAAAGTCATGGATTCCGTCAAATGCCTACCTCTACAGTTTGCACAGGCCATACTTCTGTTCTGTGAACATTTGAGGATGCTACCCAGGCCCCAAAGGTAGAGTACCAAAAACTGAATTTCAGTTGTCAAGACAGTTCTTCAACATGTGAAAACATGAGATTCTTCTACATAATGCAAAAGGAAAAATTGACTGGGATCAAAGCCAAGGGAAAATAGCTGCAATGTAAACCCAGGGTGGGTACTGAAGGAATGTAGAGCATCCCATTCTGGCAGAGAACGCCTCATTTTAAATTGTAAAGGAGATGGATTGAGGGGACATTTACAGATGTCTTAAAGGAAAAACAATATTTTAAGGAAAAAAAAGAATGTCAGTCATACAGCTGTTGGTGAATAGGGGGTGATGTAGCCTAAATGGAATTCTAGACATCTCTTTTTATATCATTTCTAACACAGTTCATCTCTTTTAGCATGGGGACTTTTAAGGAAAATGTACAAAATAAACATTTTGAATCTGAATCCCTCATTGCCGATTCTTACCTACTGATTTCACCTTGCAATGTTTTTCTGTGAGGTGTTCTGTCTTCCATAGAAGAACTTCTCTATTTCACTTATCTGAATTCACTGCTGGTGTTTTAGTTTAGCAGTTTCTGCTGACATTAAAAATGAATCATTTTAAAGTAATGCTTAGACATTATTAAAATTACAGAGGAAAAAAATGTAATGAAGTTCTGCATAGTCAGTAACCTTTTCCCAACTTTTATACTGAATTTACAGAAATTGAAAATGTAAAAGTAAGACATTGTTTTGAATATATTAAACCCCAAATCATTTATTTTCCTGAGCTACTTTTAAAGTAGTTTATATCCGCCAAAGGACAAAAATTAACTGCTTTGCTTGCCAGTCAGGCTTCCTCTTTTGTTTTCCAAAGATTACAAAGAAATTGAATACCACGATTTTATGCAGATGCAGGGTTTCTGGAAAGTAAGAGTATATTACACCCAACATTATACATCCACTTGAAATAATAAGTGTACCACTGAGAATTCCAGGTGAAAATGTAACATGTCTTTCAGGCATGTTACATTTTGTTAGCATGATACTTAAAATATTCTTAAAGAGAGATGTTATTCTTTTCACAATATCACAGGTAATGTATTTCCATAAGGAATGCAGAGACAAGGTATTTAAATGGATTTTTAATCATAATGGGAAATAGAATCTGTAGCTCTTATTTGAAATTTATTTATAAATACATTTTAAAAGGTTAACGTACTTTAAATTATTAGCAGAAACAAATATGTGAAATGCCCTGTATTTGTAATTGTCTTCTCTCCATACTGATCAAGAATTAAATTGAAAGAGACTTGGGGGCAAACAGCATCTCCATATACTCACAGATTTTGTCACTCTATAGAGACCCTTAAGCACATTGATAATGCACTGGTAAGTCTGGAGTATCTCATGATACTATTTTACTGTATTTCAGGAAAACAGTGCATGTGCCTGGTGGATCTCGATCGAGCAAAAGCTGCAGAAGAACATGGCTACTCTGTTCAGGTGATATCCATGGAGCCTGAGAGCTGCTCTCCCAAAAACAACATGATCGTGGGAGTCCCTGTTTAGAATGAGATGCTCACATGGATGTTTTTGCCTTCCGTCTTCGTGATGACAGCCCAGTGGTATTCAGGAGGTTCTTGGCATAACTAGGAAACAGCATTAGCCATCTTGAACCTATTGTGCTCAGGAAGGAAAGCAGCAGGAAAGTCTGGGAAGAAAGGCTGCGTGCAAAGCATCAAAATGCTCTTATAATGTGTGATTTAAGGACCACTGGTTTTCATGACGAGAATCCCCTGAAGACTCACTGCCAACAGAATAATACTCATTAGTGGGGGTTCCGTCACTGGAGTAGCAATTTCCTTCTCGGTTCACAGCTTTTCTAATCTTGCCAATGTGATATTCAATTCTAAATGATGACTTGAAGCCTTTATAGTCATCTAGATATTGAAGTGGAACCAAAACTAGACTCAGTGGGGGTTGTTTGTTTGTATTTTTAACAATTGTACTTTTCTATAACTTTTTTTAAATCTAGTCAGGTAATTACAGTATGGTTAAATGTTTAAGCTGGGATGAGTTAGACTTGGATATCATTTCATATAGTTCTTTTAATATATTTTCCATAAATTAGCAAATGAGATCATTTTACATGAAGACATGAAATAATTGCAGTAAATTTCTCATTATGGGAGCATATAATTTGGACATAAATTCTAACTAATCAACAAACACATTGATTAGTTCATTCAAGTCTGTAAGTAATCTTTGGTGATTCATTGTTTTCAAGACCCTGGCCTAGATTATTCTAAGGATACAACGATGAGTTGTAAGAGACACAATGCCTCGCCTATGGATCATCTAGAAGATGATGCCTTTCCTAGTCTAAATCATCTAGAAGAAAATGATTAGTGAACTAGTTAAGTTCTTTATATCATAATACAAAACAGGATTTGTTTCTCATATATCAATCATATTTTTTATTTACTTTTTTTCTTAAAACTTATGGAATATAAATGGGAGGCAGGCATATAGGGTAGAGAAATTCATTTGAATAGTTCTCCCTGCCCAAATTCTTATCCTGCACATTCTCCTTATTCCACAAGCCAAAGTTTTTAGACTGATGGCATGTCCTTTCTCACATTATTTAACTTCTACATGCTAATTGTTTAGCTGCTAATTATTTAACTTTTACATGTCCTAGGTTCTTCTACTTGAGATGAAATTTTATTTTCATCAATTTTGATGTTTTCAACCCCTGAATAACAACCCCTGAATACTATGAGGAGAAAGGACTTTAATAAATACCTCTTTTATCACTTTAATCCTAAATTATAGGAATAATTCATGGAGGGTGGAAAGTTTGAACTCTTATTTTCTGGGATAGAATTTAAGAAAAGAATGAACCATCAGCCCTGAGTATTTTAGTCATTTGTGCCTATAGACACATCATCCTCTTATCCTAAGCTATGTTTTTTAATTGAGGTATAATTTATAGACAATAAAATAACAGATTTTTAAGTATTCAGTTTGAGAAGTTTTGACAACTGTATACACTGATGCAGCCATCACCAGACATAAGATATTTGCATCAGCCCAAAGAGTACTCTCATGTGCCCTTTTGTTAATTTCCCACACCTCAAAGACAAGCACTTACCTACATTTGTTTTGCCTATTATTGTCCTTCATACAAATGAGGTGATTCAGCATGTAGTCTTTTGTGTCTGACATCTTTTGCTCAACATAGTATATTTTTTGAGAAATACCCATTTACTATGTGTATCAATAGTTTTTTCTTATTCCCAAGTAATATTCCATTAATAAAACACATCAAAATCTGTTTATCCATTCTCCTGTGGTATTTGGATTGTTTCCACTTCCAGGATACTACAAATAAGGCCTATGGATATTCTTGTTCAAGTTGTTTTGTAGACATATGTTTTCATTTTCTCTTGGATAAATACCTAATAATAAAATTGCTAAGTCATTGAATAAATGAATGTTAATTGCCAAACAATTTTCCAAAGTGGTTGTACCATTTTATATTCCTACCAGCAATGAATAAAAGTTCTAGCTCTCTACACCTTCACCAACATTTGATATTATCAGTCTTTTTTATTTTAACCATTCCAGTGGATGTGAAATGGTATCTAATTGTGGTTTTAATTTTCATTTCTCTGATAACTAGTAATGCTAAGCATCATTTATAAAGTGTTCTAGTCTTTTGCTTATTTTAAAAATTAGATCATTTGGGGTTTTTTTTATTGCTGATTTATAAGAGTTCTTTATAAATTCTAGATATGAGTCATTTGTCAGATATATATATTGGGAATGTTTTCCCAGTCTGTGACTTACCTACTCATTTTGAAAGTTTTAATTTTCATGAAGCCTAATTTATCTTTTTTTTTCTTTTATGGTTAATATTCTCTGTGTCCTCCTGAATAAATCTTCACCTACCCTAAGGTTATAAAGATTCTTCCTATGTGTTCTTATAGAACTTCATGATTCTAGCTTTCTGCATTTCAAATCAATATAAAGGTAGGGCGATTATGAGGAATCTACAATTGTTTCAGCACCATTTGTTTAAAAACCTTTTCTTTCTCCATTGAATTGACTTGGCACCTCAGTTGAAAATCAATTGATGTATATGAGTCTATTTCTGATTCTCTAGTCTGTTCCATTACCCTGTTTGATTATATAGCTTTACAGTAAGTCTTGAAATAAGGTAGTTTGCCTTCCAATTTCAGTTTTCATTTTCTAGAATGTTTTGGCTGTTTTAGATCTATTCTATTTCTATATACATTTTTTAATTGACTTACCAACTTCTTTGAAATAACAAAAAGGCTGCTGATTTTTGTCATTTAAATATTGAGTCTTACAATCTATGACCATAATATATCTTTCAACTTATTTTGCTCTTCTTTAATTATTTTCAGCAATATGTTGTCATTTTCAGTGTAGATGCTTTATTTTACTTCTAATGATTTGATAGTTTTAATGCTATTACCTTGAGCTTTTACAGGCTGTTCCCACTATGCAGAATAACCTCCTCTTGCCCATGCCACTAGTTTGAGTCACTCATCCTTCTGGTCTTAGACTTGACCTCCTGAGTGTAGCCTTTCCTAACTTCCTCGGAGTTAGGTACTTGTTACAGAGTGAGCACAATCCACAGGAGTCTTCTCCATCCTCCCCAGATTACTCAAAGCACCCCCATCCCAAAAAAGTCCATGTGATGAGCATGGAGGGAAAAAAGGAAGTGACCCCACTGTTCTCGCACCACTGCTCTCAGGTGTGGGATCCTCCTGCCCTCGTGGCTGTGGCCGGTCCTGGGTATGGGTGTTGACGATGGCTCTTGAACCATGGTTTTCTGTGTATGTCCTTGCCAAGACTCATTCCCAGCCAGGGCAAACAGGGGGACTGGGATGCAAGCAGCAGGAAGGTTGTGGTGACAACAATCCCAGCAAGTGACCTTGTAATATTAGAAGCCAGAGATCATTTTTCATTGACTTTTGAGCCTGGCTCGGAGAAGCAAAGATACAATATTTAATGACTAAACAACTCTAGCCTATTTTCAGAGACATATTTCAGTTATATTAGAAAACAAAACATTTTCACAGCACACATGCAAAATACAACATGAATAACAATAATTAAGCATTTCATCTCATTCTCAAGATTTTGGCTCAAGTGTGACCCACTCCATGGTTCAAGAATATCACCATTAATAGAACTTCCACATACTGACACCTGTTTTTCTATTGGCTTTCATAATAGAATTAGAATATATGTTCCTGGTGAAGTGATAAAATTAAGTGAAAAATAAAATAATAAACCACACATTTTTATAATCACAGTTATGTAAACTAGTTAGAAGTTCAAGTAGATTTTTTTTAATTACACCATAAATACATATCTGTTGAAGACAAACTAAAAGATGTGGCTAAACAAAAAGAACAAATTTTTAAATTACCATTAAGACTTTGCTGTATATCTTCCTAGACTGTGTTCTATACACATACACACAAATTTATTTAACAAACACTAATACAATACTTAATATTTGTTAGGCATTATTATAAGCCCTTTACAAATGATAACAACTCATTTAGTCTTTTCTAAGTCACTCAGTCTTCATAAGGACCCTAACTGTCTGATCCTGCTAGTAATCCGTTTTATAGAAACCAAAACCAATGTCTTACAGTAAGAGCCACCCCCTGTTTGAATTCAGTGGTAACTAGCAAGGCTACAGAGCTGAAACTCAAATTCGGGCTCCTTGGCAGTCTCATCAGGATTGGCTGGGATATCCTACGGTAACAAAATCTCTGTGTCTTCTGGAGTTCTGCACCAGGAAGAAGTATTTTTCACTCGTACTATATGTCCATCTACATTAGCTATGACTAGACATTATCTTCACACCTCACCAAGCAGCCTTTCTTGGGAACATAGCTTGTCTCATGGCAAAGGAAAAATACATATGGCAAACTGTCAGCTCACTACTAAAGATTCTGCTCAGATGTGATGTACTTCACTTCCCTCCTTTTTGTTGGCCGAAGAAAATTACATAACCCCTCCCGAGTTTAACAGAATGAGGGTGTATAACCTTGGCAGAGGAGGATTGCAGACAATTGCAAATAATAGCTTAATGTACTACTAGCAATGTAGTCAAAGGAGGATGAGAAACAAAAGATAGGAAAAGAAGGAAGAAGAGAACAAAGAAACAGTCATTGCATCTTCCAGTTAGGAACAGAGATTCTGAATGCCATTGACTTGGGGTAGGGCATTTTCTTGGACCCGTCAAAGAGAGGGAAGGCGCAAGCATGTCCTGCCATTGCTCTGTAGATTTTCACACTTATCTTTTGGAAAGGAATTTTCCAGAAAAATCAATGGGTTATGAGCAATCAAAGGAGTTGTTTTAATTACTATAGAAAGTAGGAGAAACTTCTATTAAATGGAATGTCAAATTTGCAAATTCTGTCTCATATTAAAGTGCTTGATTTACAATGCCAAACATTCCTTTAGGGAAGCACGAGTTTACACTCCTATCAATGTATGATTTTATAGTCCTGCATCCTTAACCAATACAGGCATTATCACACTTTTGTTTTAATCTTGGGCAATTTGATGGGCCAAAATGCTATTTTGTTTTGATATTCATTCTTGAAATTATGTGATTGCATATTTCTCATTGGTTTATTGGCCATTTATATTCCGTGACTTGCCCAGTCATCAATTTTTTTCATTTAATCAACACATCCATTGAGCTCTTGCTTTGAGGCCAAGTTTTGTGTTCACATTTCTTGCTAATTTTTCCTCTATTTTCATCTTCTATATAAAGGTAGTAGTAGAAGTTTATGGATCAAACACACTTTGGTTAATACAATTTTTTTAATTGACATTTATGGAGTAAGACATTTTTTATTTTGTTTTGCTATTGTAAAGTTTAAAATACACATTTGGTCATATTCACCATTCTTTTCTTGTGATTTCTGCTTAGAAAGACTTTTCCCACGCAGTGATAAGAAAATACCAATATTTTTGGTTTTCTAACTCTTTATTAGTTTTAGTTTTTACATTTCAATATTTAACCTGGCAATAATTTCTTCTGGTGGGAGGTCTGAGGTAGATGTTTAAAAACTGTTTGCACATTTTTAGTTATTTTTTTACTCTATTATAAAAATCCAACTTTTCCAATTGATTTGAGATGCCTTTAGTACACTAAATGTACTTGAGACTTTCTTCACTTTTATTCTTTTCTATGGAATTCTTGTGCCAGAATCACACTTACCAAATTATTACAGCTTTAAGTGCATTTTGACACCTATCAGAGTAAGTTTTATGTTTGGTGATACCATAGAAGGTTTGTGACCTGAGACACAGAGAACTTGTGAGGCCCTCCTGAAATTGTGCCCTAATGGACATGCTTTTTGCTAGAGAGAGGGACCATAGTTTAACTACATTCTCAAAAGGATCCATAACCCCAAATAACATTAAATATCACCAACCTAGAGGAAATGAAAATGTGATGGAATTCCATGTTCTCCATTAAAGAATTAGCCAAATATTAGAATCTTTTTTCAATATTTACAATAGAAGAATCACTCTGCTTTTACCAGACCCTTCTTCACAGCACTCTGGAGAAGCCAGGTTTTGCGCATTTGTGTTTGTTTGCTTATAGCTCTAGTTTATCTGACCTGAATAACACCAGTTTATAATCAAGCCAGAAGACAAAATTCAGTAGCAAACAGAGGAGAACATTTGATGGATGACTAATCTAAGGAGTCCTGAAAATTTCCATAGTATCAGGCAGATGCTGTGTTAGCAGCCGTCACCTCCTGGAGAAGGCATTCTGCCCCACTAACCTAACATGGCCTCCCCTAGTTACTCCCTATTGCCCAACACATTTGTGTACGATTTTTATGTGTTCCTCAGTGGAATGTAAACTCCAAACAGTCTGTTTTAGCCACCATTATACTCTCAGTACTTAATCTGTTGTCAGGCACATAGTATAGGAGTTCAATGAATATTTATAGAATAGAAAATGTATTTTAACATTTTCCATGTGGAGTAAAAATATGTATGAGGTTTTCCTTTCCCCTCAGTAGACATATATCCAGGCATCAGGCATGTAGGATTTTGTATTATTTTTGTTTGTGTTGTTTTTATTTTGCTTAATGTTCTTAAAATGTACTTAGTAAACACAGTTCTAAAGAATACTAAGAAGTGACAGTTACTGGCTATGTCA